CCAACCCCGGGACACACAACTTGCCTTCGGGCGGGGTGGGCCGCCCTCCCTCGGCGGCGCGGTTGGCCCCGGCCCTTTGATTCCCACCCAGGGGGCCGAGGGCCTGGGGGTCGGCGTGGACGCAGCTTTTCACCTGTTGGAGGAAGAGGAGGGTGCGCTTTGCGGCCTCGCCCCCCAATTCCCCGGCCCGCCCCAGAACGGATGCTGGGGGCCGGAGGGAGGCCCGAAAGGGAGGTCGGAAACGTCCGGGGCGGCTTCGGGGGCAAAGGGGGCGAGTTGTTGGAGCTTCTTTGCCCCGGCGCCCGCGGGGAGCGGAAAGGCTTTCCTGGGGACCCCGGGAAAAGCCTGCGCGCAGATGCACTTGGGAGGTGGGTGGGCGCGCAGCCCCACTCGCACCTGAGGCCGCCCCAGCCGTCCCGCAGCTCGGGTAACTGTCTTCCTTCGAGCCCTTCTCCCCCTCACCCGCGCCCCACCCCGTCCAAGCAGGGGAGGGTGCAGGGATTGGGGGCCGAATGGCGTGCCCGGCAGGTGGAGCGCCTCTGCCAGAGGGCTTAGCCCAGTGCGCAGCTGGGCAAGTTTTGGGTTTGGCCCAGGCCCGGGATCTTGGCCAAATCCTGGTGGGCGGGCCGGCCCGGGTTGTGCCCGGTGCCCAGCTCGCACCCGTGCCCTGAGCCCCGGGCTGGAGTCTAGAAGCCTCGGATTGCAGACCTTTTGAAAAACACTTTAAAGGGCTGCTCCTCGACGGGACGCAGCGGGCGCCGTCTGCCCCCCTTTCTTTTGGGAAAAGCCTCTTGCACTTTCCTTGTCCCGGACTCGTCTCTGCCAGACCTGACAGAGGAAATACTGTTACTATATTTATTTTCCCCTGGGAGAGAGCGAGAAAGGCGAATGCTCAGATTCCCAAGGAATCTCACTCCCAGTAGTTTCTGTTTTCAGAAACGGACAGTAGAGAAACGTTAGGGACTGGCTTGAGTTCCCTGAGAGGCTAGCCCTGTCTTGTGTCTTTTGATTTTCCCATTGATTTTTTTCCTCATCTGAGTCACCTGAGTTACAGGTGAGGGCGGAAGACCTAAATGGTAGACAGGGCTTCACGTGTAAAGGCTTAAAGGGCTTTGCCAGGAGCAGGGGAGCCAGCTGCGGTTACAGGGCGAAGTGAGTTGGCAAATTCTTTCTTTCTGTGAACCTCCCTGGAACCTCTCACAGGTTTCTAACCGGGTGGTGTGTGTGTGTGTGTGTGTGTGTCAGATTCTGCTGAGACCATGTCAGTTTTGTGCTCCAATGACTGATGGCGCCCTCACGTAGTCCTCTCAGAACCCTGGAGGAAGCCCCATCCCTCTCCTTATAGAATGGCTGTTTGCTGCTCCCTCCCCATTCTGCCTCCTCTGCCCTTTGGGAGGGACCCTCCCAGGGAACTCAGGACTTGAGAGGCCCCCTGATGGAAAGTGGGGTCCCCTGGGGTCCCCTCCAGCTCAGGGCCTGCCATTCCTGAACGGTGTTAGGTCCAGGTTACAAGCTACTCTCTCAAATCAGCTTATTCATCCTTCTAAGTTAGGGTACATCTGGGGTCTTCTGCCCAGTTATTATCAGAAGGTTTTTGTATTACCAGCTTTGGACTTGGCCCTTGACCTGAGAAAGGCTTCATCCTTATCTTTTCCTCTTGAGAGCTTAAAAGCCTCCTACCCTGGAAGTTAGGGGCGCTTTGCCAACTGAGGGAGACTTCCTTTCCAGTTCAGAGTGTTGATGTTTTGGGTAACACATGTATCTGCCTCATCATTTTGCAATAAATCAGACGCAGAGTGCTAAGTAGCTGCGTTTGAGAATTATCTGAATTGCAGAGGCTAATCTAGCTCATCTTTTGGTGTTTGATTTGAGAAAAAGCTCCGCTTCAAGTCTCCCTGGTGAATGCTACCAATATGTTTACTATACCTGTCAGGCGAGGAATGTGGGGGTTCCCCCGTCCTTGTAAAATTCCCCGTTCTCGTGAGAAGCAGATGACTTGTGCTTTGAACACTCACTGAATTACAATGTTGGTCTGTGCAAACTAAAGCATGTTGGGCCCAATCTTCAACTAATCAGCACAGCTCTAACTGGAATCGTTGTGTCCTCCTGCTTCTCAGAGGTTGAGGCCCTCCCCTTTGCCCCTTTTAAAGGTGAGCTTGGGTAATTATGGAATGACTAGGTATAGTGGCTTAACAACACAGTTCAAAAGAAAAAGCAAGATCAACTAGGGCTCGCAGACATATGTTAAAATTATAAAGAAGAATTCTTATTTGTGATATTTTTAAAATTTGTTACTGGAATGCCTCATTCTATGTGTCTAAATTCCCAACTTTGAGCTCTCCCCTCTCCCAAGTAAGTAGAATGTCTCAGCACTGTCTCCAGATTCTCAAGATGTTTTCTCTTAATTTGTAAATCTTTTTTTAAGAATGTACTTTATTGATTTTTTTACAGAGAGGAAGGGAGAGGGATAGAGAGTTAGAAACATCGATGAGAGAGAAACATCCATCAGCTGCCTCCTGCACGCCTCCCACTGGAGATGTGCCCGCAACCAAGGCACATGCCCTTGGCCAGAATTGAATCTGGGACCCTTCAGTCCTCAGGCTGACATAGAGCCAAACCGTCCAGGGCTTAATTTGTAAATCTTATCAAGCAGTTGATGTAGGAGAAATTATTTTCCATTTCCCCAGCCTGCATGTTACATATTCAAAACTAGCCTGTTATTTGTAGGCTCTGGCTTGATTTTCCATGGTTTTGTAGCATCTCAAGAGATGTCTGGAGCTAAAGGATGGTGGGAATATCACCCTGTGTCTACTGCAGAAATATGTCCAGTCTTTGTCCCCACTCTTTCTAAGCCAGTGGTTCTCAACCTTCTGGCCCTTTAAATACAGTTCCTCATGTTGTGACCCAACCATAAAATTATTTTCCTTGCTACTTCATAACTGCAATGTTGCTACTGTTATGAATCGTCATGTAAATATCTGATATGCAGGATGGTCTTAGGCGACCCCTGTGAAAGGGTCGTTCGACCGCCAAAGGGGTCGCGACCCACAGGTTGAGAACCGCTGTTCTAAGCCATTCTGCTAGCCAGCCGTGGCTTCTCAAGCCAAAGCAGGGATGGGAGTGTCTTCCCAGGGAGTTGTCGTTACAAGTGATGGTAGCGTTGCTGCGTCTTGTTTGTGAGTCTCTCTGGCGTTGTGTAAGCCGTGCTGAGTTCTACCGGGCGCCTGGAGAAGATTCCTCTCCTTGGATGTTTACATACTTGTGACTCTCCTAAGGGCATCCTTGCCTGGCTGCGTGAGCCCATTGGCTGAACTCGCCATGTGGTCAGGGATTCTGGTTCCTGCTGCTCTTCCAGCTGGTGAGCGTGTCCAGGGCCAGAAGTGACTGACCTGCTGAGGATTGCACTGGGAACGTCCGCGCCAGCGCTTCCTGAGATTGCGTCACTCTTGGCTCCAGACACACAGGGTTGAGAGAGTCCCTTGAATTTGCGTCCCCTGTGTTTTTGTCTCTGAGCTGGAGCACCTGACTCCCAGGAGAGGGCAGGCAGTCTTAGGGTGCTGCAAGGTAGAGGTGAGCGGTGAGGCGGCAAGCCAGTGAAAATACGTGAAAGCTTACGTGGGGTGAAATCTGTGGTCAAGAAGGCCTGAAAAAGAAAAGCTGCTGAAAGAGTAAGAGGCTGGTGGATAATATTCATTTTCCCTGCAGGGGGCTTGTGTGTTCTGTTGAGTCTCCACCCTTAGGAGCCCAGGTTTTTCCCTGTTGAAGTTCTAGTGGTTCTTAAAC